AGTAGGAAGACTACTGCAAAAATTTACATCAAGATGATGCTGGCTTGGTGGCAGTGAAGATGCTGAGAAGTGATGAAATTCTGGATATATTCTAAAGGTAAAGACAACAGAGTTTGCTGCTGGATTGGAAGGGGGAAGGAAAGAAAAAGAGAAGTAGATAAAGACTCCAAGGATTTTGCTTGATGAACAGGAAGGAAGCAACAGCCATTAACTGAAATGGAGCAGACTGTGGGAGGAGCAAGTCTGGGAAAAGAGATCAGGGCTTCAGTTGATACCAGTTAAAAATCTGAGCTACCTATCAGACATCCAAATAGAGATGTTGATTAGAGAGAGGAGGGATGAGCCTGGAGTTTAGGGGAGAGACACTGGCTAAAGATACCTGTATTTTCTTGAATGTAAGATGATTTAATGTTGGTACTTTCTTTTTTTTCTTTTTTTGTGAGGAAGCTCAGCCCTGAGCTATCATCCATGCCAAACCTCCTATTTTTTTGCTGAGGAAGACTGGCCCTGGGCTAACATCTGTGTCCATCTTCCTCCACTTTATATGGGAGGCCGCCTGACAAGCGGTGTGTCAGCGCGCGCCCAGGATCCGAACCCGGGCCGCTAGCAGCAGAGTGCACACACTTAACTGCTACACCACGGGGCCGGCCCCGATGTCGGTACTTTCTTAATCCTTATCAGAAACTGTTAACAGAAGGCTTCACACAACATAGTATAATTGCCACCTCACTGACAGTGGGTGACAGATGCCACCTGATTTTAGAACATGGTTTCTCAACCTTGGCACTATTTTGGGTCAGATAGTTCTTTGTTGTCGGGGCTGTCATGTGCATTGTAGGAATCTACCGGCTCCCTTGGCCTCTACCCACTAGATGCCAGTAGCACCCTTCTATCACTGACAACCAAAAAAGTCTCCAGATATTGCTGAATGGCCCCTGGCAGACAAAACAGCTCCCAGTTGAGAACCACTGTTTTAGAGGGACTAAAATGTGAGGGGGAAAAGTGTGTTTTAAATAAATGAAATAGGATATTAAAATTTGTGAGTTGTCAGTGCATAAGATCACAAAAGGAGTGGATATGGATAGAAAGGTAGTCTGAAGACTGCATCTTGGGACACTCCAAGGTCAAGAGAGTATAAACATGAGAAGGAGACTGTGAATGGCCAATGAGGCAGCTCCACTCTCTCCCCAAATCTCACTAAAATAAAGATAAAGGCTTTTGGGGTGTGTGTGTTTAAAGATAAACTCATAAGACAAGACAAAAGTTTGGAAGCTAGACAGCATAAGGCTGAGTGGTAACCAACTCACCAGGCCCAAGGAAAGTTGAATGCTAAGCCAGCACTGGAGAAAAGCAGAAGAGCACACCAATTTACATTATGTAACCTCAAAAGTCTCCAGAAGCAGCAGAAGTGAAGGTGGGACTAAAAGCAGGAGGATTGGTTGAAAGTATATTTAAGAAAGCATTTAATTCCCAGATTCCTTCCTTTACTTGCCCACCAGCAAGTCTCAGGTTCAGACTGATATTCACTCACAGGACCCAACAGACCATTGCTTGGCACCAAGTTCCCTTAGTTCTGCAGAAAGACAAAGACAGCACGCTACCAAGAGACATGCTATCTTCAGAAGGGAGCTATATAGACTACGAGGGGCCTTTTTTGGACCCACCACTGTAAGAGAAAGAGATCACGTGGCTAAGTACAGAAATCACCCTGGCTTAGGGACACTTCATGCTCCACAAGAACCAGTCATGCATTATAACAGCCAATGAGTTCCAGGGCCCCTCAAGGGACGTGTTCACGCTCATTTACAAGAGTTACACACTGCACACCAGGAAGTCAAGGTCCGAGTCTTTTCATAGGCTTCTATAGTTCACTCGCAGTCTTCCTGGTCCATATGCACTCACCAATCCGGGGTCAATTTATAATAAACAATATTACCTGGAAACATTCTATATTTATTAATCAAGTTTCTAGTAAAAGAATGCCAGGAGAAGGAAAACCCAAGGTCATTTTCCATAGAAAAAAGGGTTCAGACTTGCTATTAACTCTTTCTTCTTAAAGGAGTAATTCTCACATGGAGGCAACTTTGCCTTCCAGGAAACATGTAGCAATGTTTGGAGACATTTCTAGTTGTCACAACTGGAGGGTGTGGATGTACTACTGGCACCAAGTAGGTAGATGCCAGGGATGCTGCTAAACATCCTACAACGCACAGGACAGCTTCCTAGAACAAAGAATTATCTAGCCCAAAATGTCAATAGTGCTGATGGCTGAGACTTGACCTAGAAGGATTAAATGGAAGATCACATACTGAACATTGAGGACCACCCCACATTGCAAGCCTTCTTTCCCAAATGGGCTGCTAAAGCACTGTAAGACAGAGATATGCCCTTCATGCAGGAGACTGTAAGAATCTTCTCTGGAGAAGCTCACCCACCTGAGAGAAAAGACCTAAGAACGAACTCTAATAGAGTAGACCACAAAAGACAGAAAAGAATTTTAAGAAGATGAAATTAATAGAACACTAATTTTGTCTGAACCAAGTAAGAGATTTAATCAACTGGGGGAAAGTTTGGAGTTGAAATATTAATAAATATACCAAAAAAACTATATATTTTTAAATCTAAAGACAATTATTAATTCCAGGAAAAACAAAATGTAATGTCCCAAAACAAAATGTAATAAAAGTATATAGAGTTGAGCAGTAAACTGCATGTATATAGCCATGATAACATAAAACACTAAATAGTAACCCAACCAAAATATATTGGGAGGATGGGGGAACAGGAGGGGAGAAGAGAAGGGAACTCTCTGAAGAGCATTATATCCTAATCTTCCAGAGTGAGAAGTCAGTAGATAATACATACAACTGAAAAAAATCAAGATACAGCAATGTAAGTACAGATTTAATGATATGGAGGATAAAATCCTAAGAATCAGCTAAAAGAGTAGACAGTGCTTATCTCTGGGAGCAGAATACGGCATGTGTGAGTGTGTATGTGCCCACAGCAGACTTTTTTGTAACAAATCTCATAGACTCTTTAAACTCTATGCCTGCAAAACTAATTAAAATATTTTTTAAAAATTCTATTTGAGTGTAGGGAAAATTTGATACATGGGTTTGAGATCTAGTAAGCTTCCCTCAGTTTTCTTGATTTAAATTAGAACAGACTAGATCCAGAAAAAGTATATTGAAACAAGTTTCAGGTTTGTTAAACCATCTTTCTACCCATCTGGGCAAGGCAAAAGACAGGCTGGACAGAAAAGATTTTAACTCCTTTCTCTGCTTTATTCCTGGTTTACTCACCAAACCTTATATTAAAGTCTTAGATTAAACATTACACCACTGAACACATTACATCCTTGCCCATGGATACCACTAGACACCAGATGAAGTGTTTGCTGGGACAGGACTTTTTACTTTTTTTTTTTTTTTTTGCTCTTCTATTGTTTGAACTTTGATGAGTGTATTTTACAGATGAAAACACACACACACACAAACGAAGATCCTACTAATGATCAGTTCATAACCTGTCTTCATGCATGTTGATCCAACTCAAAATAATCTGGTTGGAAAGAAGGAATATCAACATACAAAACACAAAATAACCAGGAAAGCACATCCCTAATAAAATATTGCTCATCCCAGCAGGTAAATGTAGAAGACATAAATGACGCATACTAAGTACCTGGTGCTAAATATAATCCCCAGGTATCATAAGGTAGAAATCCGTTTTCATGTTCTCTATAGAGTATATACCATTAGGTAAGTTTCATTTTAAATAAATGAAAGTTTATTCTTTAGATCGATATAATTTGCTAACTTTCTTTACAAACAATAAAACTCAAGTTTATCTCCAAACCACCAAGATTCACGTGTTTTTTGTGCTCCACAGTACTTAGAACAAAGCTAGGTACATGGGTTGGTACTAAGAGTTAGTGACTGATGGAAATTCATCTAATGAATTAAATCAGTGGGGGGAAAAATCAATGTCGAATAGTAGGTGTAAATTTTAAATTTCTCTGCAATTCCTTAAACAATGTTTTACAAGATTTTACCTTAGTATTGATTATTCACAAATAGATTATTTTATCCTGTATTAGAGACCACTGTAAACAAACTGAATGAAAGGCTGGTGGTGCCCTCATTGATTTTCTTCTTTCTTGCTGCTACCCTAAAAGAAAATTGCCTTCTCCTTGATGAAAAAAACTCAATAAAGAATTCACCTTCACCAAACCCAGCTTTTGCTAAACTTATTTTATCACAAATACATTCCTTAACCCCACCTCATCACATCCAGAAAAACTTCATCTTTTAAAAATCTGTTCATGTATATTATACCACTTTCGATTCTCTGAACCCATCATATGAGGAAGGTAGACCAAGTACTATTAGCCCCAATTTACTTAAGAGAAATTGTTCACAGAGGTTGACTAACTCATTTAAGGTCCTATGGGCAGTTAGTGGCAAAGAAAACACTTCGAACCAAGTTTTCTGATTCCAAGCCCAGTGGCTCTTTCCACTACACCACACTGACTCTTTGATAATAAAACAGATAATAAAACCCTGAAAACTAGAATCTTAGAGGACTACAATGTAGATATGAGTCTTTTTCTTAAGTTGTTATTTTATAATAAGCATATATTAAAAAGCAATTATTATCAGCTTAATAGCTATAACAACTACAAAATGTCATCAAATATAAACCACATTTCATGTTTTTTTAATCATGTCAAACAACTGATATTAAACCAAGGACTTCAAATAGTCACAAGAATAAAAATGAAGAAATGATAAATCTCTTCTTAATCATCTTTGTGATACTGCCATATCTGGTAATATATTCCTTCAGCAGTCTGATTTTAAAACTTAGCTCAGAGCTATCCTTGACAAATTTTAAATGTAGAAAAAATAAGAAAGTTAATTAAAACTATATTTTTTAAAATATCATCTCCTCCTTAAAAATTAAAATACCAAGAAAAAAAAGTTCCATCTACTTACCTCAGTAATTGGCTGCCCCTGATGTGTCAAATCCAGTTCTTGAGGGCGTGCTACTTTATCGATATCCAAAGAGTCCATGCTGGAGGCTGCGGAAGTGATGCTGGAACGAGAGGAGTTACTAACAGAGTGTGCTTCAGCATCACTCACCGTGCCCGCAGAAGCCGTTCTTCTGTGCTGATTCGTTACTAGGGGCTTAGTATCTTCTAGTACAGATTGCTGGGCAGCCTCATCCATGCTCAAGGAGGCCTGTTCTAACTGTGCAGTGATGTCATCCAGGGAATAGTTGGCATGTGACGGTTTAGTTATCCTATTAGACGAAGATGACAGTCCTTTCAAGGTGCCATGTTTTGATGTATGTCGGCTAGCAGGTAACTTCTGAGTGGCTTTTGTTTCTGTGATTTGACGTTTACTGTTTCCTGCACCAATACTGCTGAGCTCCTGCTCTATCGAGCAAAGATCAGCCATCAGGGCATCCAGATCCACAGTTTCTCCCTGATTCAGAGCTTCTGCAATGAACAACATACACGATGTTTCCAGGACACACTGAGTCAGAATTTATACATTCTATTGTAAGTCAGTTAATGAAGGCAGGGGAAGAAGCAAAAAAATTCATTGTATTGGGCCTAAAAGCCTATCAAATATAGTATTTAAAACAGTATCTTGTTTGTTTTAAATTCCAAGAGAAATTTTTAGAAGCAAATAGTCCATCTTTTAAGATTTGTAGTAATCAGAGGAGAATAAAATTATGAGTTAAAAAATAAAAATAATGCAACAATTGTACACTGTTCCACGGTTTTACTCAGATCCCCCATGCAACTTTTTACCAGAGGCTCTAAGGTGTTAACATGATCAGTGCCCTGGTAAAGATGTTAATACCTAAAGAGCTGAGGGCATTAAAAAATTACAGATTAGAATGGCAATTCCAAATACTATAAAGGTGACCAGGTAGAGTACATTAAACAAAGGCCAGAGGGGCTGATTTTTGTGTGTGTGTGTGTGTGTGTGTGTGTGAGGAAGATCAGCCTTGAGCTAACATCCATGCCAATCCTCCTCTTTTTGCTGAGGAAGACTGGCCCTGAGCTAACACCTGTGCACATCTTCCTTCACTTTATGTGGGATGCTGCCACAGCATGGCCTGACAAGCAGTGCGTCGGTGTGTGCCCAGGATCCAAACCCAGGCCACCAGCAGCGGAGTGCGCGCACTTAACCACTATGCTGTGGAGCCAGCCCCCAAGAGGGGCTGATTTTAAAATTACTAACAAGTAATTTCACTGGACTTTATTCCAATCAAATACAACAACGTAATGAAGTTTGTTGTGGGGTTCCATCTGAGTATGTATTTTGTTAATTATTAACTCAACTAGAAAACTATTTTAGTTATGTTCCAGTTTGTTTTTTTCTATAATCATTTAAATTAGTAATAAAATGCACAAATCAATAAATATATGAACTCAGTCAAGTTATGCATACAGTTTTTATACTGAGTTGTTTGGAATTGTGGTGCACTGCTTCCACACTGTATAACTTCAGATACTATTTTACATTTTATTTCCAATTATATCTTACCATTCAAGTTGTATATGGAGAAGCGATAAGAAAAGTTGGCCATGTTTGTTTCCTGGCGCAGAGGAGATCTTTTTACTGGTTCCGTGGGCTTGTCAGAATCCAAACTCTTTAAAAAAGAAAGTTTAATAAGTCATATTAAATTTAGGCTTCAGTTATATAAAAAAGATGAATAAAGTTTGTTTTATGGTTAAGTGAATTACTGTCATATAATAGTTAATAAACCAAAGTGCTTCTAAGCAATAGCTTTAAGGAATAGTATAATTGGTTTTCATATGATTTTGTTTATAGCTTTTTCAATTTTTAGATATATGCTTACTTAAGGCATTTGAGACTGTCATAGTTTGGAGGTACTATCTTTCCAAATACATCAAGTATAGTGACTGAGCTCACTTTACATAAATTCACTATAAAATAAGCTAGGCATATGAATATGGGCATGGTAAGATAAGAAACAGAAAAGAACAATGCAGAGAATTCTGTTAGCTCTTTCCTCAAAGGGATTTGTTTTTGGTCCAGAATAGCCTCATTCTTGGCATGAAGTACCCTGAAGATAAGGCACAATTCTGGACTCAAAATTAGTGAGACCCAAGATCTTAACAGAGAATGGCTACAACTTCAAACAGTGATGGAATATCCTTGTTCTTTTCAAGTTCTAGCAACACGAGGGCAAACTGTAACCCAGCTCTACTGCCTGCGATGAGTCTAGAATTATACTGTAGTTCAGGGTGTGGTGTCCTGTCTTGTAAGTCATCTCACCACCTTTTTTTTTGTGAGGAAGATCAGCCCTGAGCTAACATCCATGCCAATCCTCCTCTTTTTGCTGAGGAAGACTGACCCTGGGCTAAGATCTGTGCCTATCTTCCTCCACTTTATATGGGATGCCGCCACAGCATGGCCTGACAAGTGGTGCATCGGTCCGTGCCCGGGATCCGAACACGGGCCGCCAGCAGCGAGCGGAGCGCGTGCACTTAACTGCTATGCCACAGGGTCAGCCCCCTTACCACCTTTTTAAAATGACACTTTTCTCTCTCTAATCTTTCTACAATAAGGAAAATAAGATGTTCACAACAGAGAAATTCAGGAAAAGGGTCAATAGTTATTTAGTGTGTATTTAAATAAATTTGCAAATATTAAGATTAATCTTTTAAAACTTTAATTTCTATTTATAATTATCAAATAGATTTCAAATAAAAAAGAATGTTGGATAGTCTATTTGTAGAATCAAGGAATTAGAGTAGAATGCTATCTTCTTTATCTTCGTTTGTCTCAAGATAAAATGAATCCATTCAGATAGTGTCCATCCAGTTCCTAAAGCTATCATATGAAGGAGACCCACAACCATTCAGGGCCTTATTTCAAAGTTTCACAAAACAGCCAGGAAATTCTCCTTTAACCTCAAACCAAATTCTTCTGCTGCAATTTAAGCCCTAATCCTCCTTCTCTCAGTGGAAATGAAGAATAATAGGTAGGTAATGTTTTCTGTAAAATAACTTGAATATAATTAAGGACATGTTAAAAGTCAATCTATTTACCAGTTCAAATAAACAAATACTTATTATAATTATCTGCTGTGTCCTTGGGGCTGGGGCAACAAGGGAAATAGTAAGAAATACTCCTTGATGCCCAAGAAATTGCTAATCTAGTAGGGTCGTTTGTAACTTTGGGGGGGAATGTCACCGAGAATTTAATAAAAGCTATGAACTTAATTCCAGAAAAATGCAAATGCACACAAACTTTACAAACGCTTTCAGAAGATTCACCAACCACTTAAAACTTAAAACGTAATGTAATATAAAGTTGAAAATAGGATTAACATTGTATGTGTTACATAGGTACACGGACAATAATTTGTAGTGAATTAAAATAATGAAATAAACAAGAGACTTGAGGTTTTAGCCAACTAACTTAGTAAGTAAAACATTTTTTGAAGATTTCTGAAGTGTTAAAAAGCAGCTTGTTAGCAGTGAGCCATGTTACACAACGGCTTTAATCTGCTTTCTCTCTGAAGACAGATTTATATAATAAAAAGAATAGTCACAGCATTAGTTTAGGAGCCAACGTTTTGGTGTGTGGCTCTTCACACTTATATGTCAGGGAATTTAAAATATAGAGAAGAATACAAGGTACTAAACTAGTAGAAACGGCACCAGCAGCGGAGTAGCACAGAGTTACTCCTCTACCTGGAGCAGCTGGACTGATACCTACCCGTCTTTTCTCTTTCTGGCCCCTTCCCAAGTATGGACAATAAAACTACAGAGTCCCGGAAACCCTCCTTGCCAGCTGGCCCTCACATACTTCCCTTCGTGTATTATCATTTCTATTTCCTCTACTTTGCTTCCTCTTTCCTTTTTGTCCTCAGCATAGAACTGCATAGCCTCGGCATCATCTCTATGCCAAAATCACCTTTTTAAAAAATTTAAGAATTAAACCGAAATGGTTTGGCATTGGCAACTACAGATATAAGAAAAGACCTTTCTCACAACAAATAATGTTGTTTCTCCTTTTTGGAGATGAAGGGAATGATTCTTAACAAAATTCTAGTAGGATTGAAAGCATTTTCCTCAAAATTCAGCATTAATAGAGTATAGTCACAAACATGTCTACATTTCAAAAGGATCTAGCAAGAATTACATGAAGAGTTTATCATGTCAATTCCAGACTGCTATAGAAAGAGAGACAGGAACAAACTAGTACTTGAAGTTCCCCCCTCACACCGTTACTTTCCACTAGTTAAGGAATTTCATACTTAAGCAATTTTACACAAAAGTTCTTCTTAGAGATATTATTAAAGGATGAATGAAAATAAGTTTTGTTCTAATATTCTCATTGCCATAAAGTTAAAGTTGTTTTAATAAACATAACCATCTTCATATATTGAATATAATGTATTAACCGGGTAGTAATAGTGTACCCTTTTATTCTAAGAAGTGTTCTGGTTTAGAGGATAAGGGCATTATTTTTTTTTTCCCACCCAAGATCCAATAAAACAAAATGAAAAAGCTGTGCTATTGTTTTAAAATGCAGCAGGGAATGAAATTTTGTCAGTATTCTGGAATCAGGTAATAGAAAATATCTGCATGTGAGGATATTATCTATGTTATAAAGTGTATTCATATTTACTAAGTTATGGAATAGGATTTGCTAAAATTTAGACTTTTAAATTTTAGGCTTCAAAATTTTTTAGTCAGCAATCTCAACTTTTGAAACAGATTTTAAGTAATCCCTCTAGATGAACTGATTAACAAGGTTTTTTAAAAAACTCCTTAAAATAATTACAGAAGATAACGTCTTGTGTTCTAGAGTTACTATTCATTTACCTGTTAATGTTTTGGACATTTTTCCTTTCTAGCAGTATTTTAAAATGTAACCTATATCCATATCCTTACATCTTACACAGGAAACTTTCAGCACACAGCGATGACTTCAAATCCTCAAGCAGCTTTTCAAGCACTAATTCTAACCTGAGTGAGTTTGTCCAGCTCCCCCAGCCAGGCTCCAAACATTTTGTCCAGGTCCTGATCTTCCTTGTCACTGTCTTCTTCAGCACCATGGTCAATTTCTTCATCTGACAGTTGCTCCATCTGAAATACAGACATTTGTATAGAATGGTTAGAGGTTGAACTTGAAAAATTATGCAGTGTATGTTCTGATGTACACTGCAACTCTCCAGAGTCAAACTTTCAAAACTAGAGACTATACTATAAAAGGAAATTAGAAATCATTCATGGAGACAGGATTGACAAATGAATAGAAACAGCAATTAAGTCTCAAATTTTTAGTAAATTGTGAAAGAAGAACAAACCGTATCAGATTATGACTAGAAAGTAACAATAATTTTAAAATTGCAGAGCACTCCTATTAATCAGAGGATATTACAGTAGTATACTCCACTTCTCTCCACTAATAGATCCTATAACATCCCAAACACCACAGAGAAACAATTTCAGAAGACTCTGATGGAGCAAGTTATTATATTTATCTGTAAAAACCTGTTTAGACACAAATAAGTATTTATCTTGCAAAACCTTAGTCCAACAAGCATTTCAGAGAAAAGACAAAATTTTTCATCTAGGTTAGTCTGTTAAATTAGTTTCTCCTTCTATACTACTCTCACTTTCTACCCCATTTGTCTTTTATCTTACTTCCCCATCAGTTCCTACAAAATCCAAGGAACTAGAACTAAAATTGAAAACTTTAAATTCATATACAAAATTTCCTGTATGTGGTGACTTTTCAAGTTTAAGTCCCTTGAAGACAAGATATTTTCCTTCTTCCCAATTAATAAAATAATGTGATATTTGACACAGAACTTGCATATTATTTTGTGAAAGGAGGAAAAGATTATACAAAACAAAGATAAATGACTGACCAGATACTTAAAGTTCTTAAAGTAAGATTAATCTCATTAATATAAAATATTTCAATATTAAAGGCTCTGAGGAATCTTCAGTAAAACTTAGATTTTATTAAACCAACATATTCCAAAGTTATTTGACCACAAATCCTTTTCCTTCAACTTGGAGTAATACCTAACTTTCCCAAGACACAATGAATATCATCATTGTACATTCCACACTCTTTTTTTTTAAAATTTTTTTTGTGTGTGTGGTTGAGGAAGATCAGCCCTGGGCTAACATCCGATGCCAATCCTCCTCTCTTTTCTGAGGAAGATTGGCCCTGAACTAACATCTGTGCCCATCTTCCTCTACTTTATACGGGATGCTGCCACAGCACGGCTCGACAAGCAGTGCGTCGGTGCGTGCCCAGGATCTGAACCAGCGAACCCCGGGGCCACTGCAGCAGAGCACGAGCACTTAACCGCTTGTGCCATCGGGCCGGCCCCTGTACATTTCATACTCTTGACTTACATTTCTGAAATACAAATTTTGTTCCAGTGGATCTAGGCAATATTTGGAATACAACCTGTTAGTTGGTTTAAACAATTCCTCAGAGATTAAAGATATCTTTAATCTCGAATAAGAATTTGTACACATCTTACACCTCTAAAGCAGCAATCAACAAAATTACCTCTATGATCTTTAAATGTGTTTATGAGATATGTAAAGAATCTACTTATCTGATGAAGTGTCATGAAGCTAAATTTTAAACCTTATTTTACTATATAAAATTTTGCAGAAAGGGTCAAATAATGTTGCAAAATCAAACTGAACTCAGTTTTAATGATGCTGAAGATCAGATCATATCCCATTTAATCACTTAAGGGAAATAATTTTCTTAAGCTTAATACTACAAAAGATCACAGATTATCAATATCTCTAACAGAAACTGATAATTCCCATTTCTGAATTTCACTACTTTAAGCATGCATAAATCACGGCATTCTACCTTGACAAATGAAAAATGGATCAACTAATTCTCCAATTCATAAATCTGACTCTTAAAAAGATCTGGTTTTTATAATTCACTTGTGTTAATACTATTTCTAAGATTTTTATTCATTATTGAATTATTTACAGATCAACCTCAATAGAAACCTAATATCATACATACTTCATTGAGTTATCTACCCATGAAAAACATAAAATTTTAGTGCAAAGAGAAACTTCACCTGACCAGGTGACTTAATCACTCAAATAATTGTTGGAAGTTGGAGAACCTCTAGAAGTAGTAACACCCAGTCTTCATAACGAAGGTCAACAAGCAAAAGAACCAGGAACATAATAGTCAACCTCCTCTTACTCCCTAATCTTCAAAATTAAACACATTGGAATAACCCAGAAGCTGACATATTCTAGGAGGAATTTTGCTTTGAGATAATGATAGTTATATCTACATGTCCCTTCTGAGCACACACTGTAAGGGCCCATAAGGAAAAGGCAATACTGGAAAAATGAAACAATAGGAATATAATTTTACAGAGCAAACACAAAATAGTTCAAAATGAATATGAGTATTTTACATTATCACAGAGCCAACCAGAACTATAGACTTTACATCAACGTCTAATGTGTTTTGTGAGTTTTCTCCTATTATTCAAACTCAATAATTATTTGGATTTTAAAAATCTCTTTAAATATCTTCATTAATAGTTTTGTTTTTATCTGGATTACTGAAGACTCAAGTAGAGGAAAATATGGCTAGGGAACAATGACAGAGAGTCATAAAATAAATGGAAATTTTGAAGCAACTATTTGACAATGACCATTTATGTAACTTTTGCCAATTTTGTCCTTTCTCGAATTTCTGTCACCACATGGCTTATTTTATAAAAATTAACTTAAGACGCTTGTGAGATTCTTCCAATAAAAATTTTAGGTCCTACAACATTTCCTAAAGGATCTACACTCTAAAACAGCACTCTCCATTCCCAAGAAGCTGATGTCGATCCTTATTCTCCTACCCCCAATATGGCGTCACTTGTTTACTTGAGACACCAAATGAGGAGCCCCCAGGAAATTTCCTTATAGACTCTGCACTGTCTCAAGTCAGCAAATCTAGTAAGGAAATTCATTCTTTGTTATATATCAATGCCCCTACTGGAAATGATGACAGCAGAAAGTGCAAATAAAATAATCCAATAGTCACTCAACTGACTCTCCAATCAAAGGGGAGTAAAATTAAGGAAAAGAATATAGAACTTACAAGTCTTATTTTTAAAATAATTTGGATTTAAATGGAAAGCTTCTAATGTGACACTTTTCCTTAATGATGTGGAAATAGGCCTGAGGAAACCATAATACATACTAAAACAAATATTGTGAAATTATTCTATGACTATGAGATTACTCATAGTCTTATAGAGTACTTTAGGGGGAATATATTTAAGTTTCACTTAAATTCCTGCTCCACTACATCTGAGGGACACTATGTCCTAAAAGAAATGTACCCTACCACAAATGAAAAGGTTACTCCCCAAAGTGCAGACTTATTGAACACAGAATAAAATCCAAAGTTGGTGGCAAGTGGAGAAGGCCCTGAGTGCTCCTGGCCTTCAGGTACCTCTCTGACCTCTCTTCCCACTCTCCCCTCCAGCCACAATGCCCTGCCCGCTGTTCCTTGGAGCAGTTGCAGGGCGGGAGGGTGTGGAGTCCGTTTTGAAGATAGATTGAGAAATGCCTAGCAAACATCCAACTGGAAAATAATGAGGAAGAGTTGACTCAGCTAATGAGAAGATTTGATTAGCCTGAATATTATTTCAAAATTATACACTTATTACAGAAAAATCAGAGATTACAGCTAATAATGACAACTAATATTTTAAACTAATTTATTTTATTAATGAAGTAAAAATAGAAATAAGGAGGAAACGATCTACCACAGCTTATACGCTGGTTGGTTTCATTTTACAGATAACAGTGAATAACTGTGCTTCAATTATTACAGGTTAAAACTTGTAATATTTATAAGTAAGCTCCACTACATATAACGAAACTACCCATTTAGTATGAAATAATATTATTCCCAATAAATTTTCCAGGAAGTTAATTATTCAAGCATATTTTCCCTATTAACCTTCCTCTTGGGAGATATTTTGGTTTACTATTCACCTTCCTCACTGTGAGATGAAATAGCGATCTTTATCAAGAAGGTTGGGCTTAGATGAAGGCTTAAGATTTTGAATAAATATATTCCAGGCAGGCCAAATTACAAAGAGCAAAGGAGAAAGTCTGTGTTTGTGAGAATGTCATGAGACTGACTCAAATAAAGCAAGAGGGAAGAGTAAGATTTAAAAGCCAAGGACTAAGGCGAGACCCGGTCATATAGGACCTTGAAAGCCAAGCCTGTTTTTTTTTCCAGGAGGCAACTGGATTCTTAGACACAGATGTGAACGGGGGAGGGAAAGAAATAGTATTTATGCAGAGGACTTGGTGACTGTATAAGAGTTATTAGAGAAGGGAAAGACCATTGGAAGGCTACTTATAGATATCAGGTAGAGATAATTATAGATATGGAAACCGAAGTCCTGAGAGGATATACAATTTACACAAGTCACATACTTAGAGAGTGGCAAGAAAAATACAAGGTATACAGCCAGGGTGCCTAATTTATTACTGAACTCTTTTTGTCCCTTTAATAACTTAAAAATAATTGCTTTTCTGTAAAAATGAGTACTCTATACTTAAAACCACATGAAAACTCTCAGAAGGCAGAGCTGCCACTACAGCATTTCTCTAGGTCTAGCACACTCACTGTTCCAAAGAGGCAAGAGAAGCTCAGATTTTATTTAATATTTACTGAACATCTACTATGTGCCAGACGCGGAGGAGCAGAGATGAACATGACAGCCTCTGTCCTTAAGGAAAGTATGATGTAGGAGGGGAGAGACAAGAAAAACAACGATGAAACCCTGTGTTCAGTGCTAGAATAGAGGTATATGATGTGAGTGCAGTTTTAACTCGATTTGAGAAAGAGAGAGGAAAGGGTGATGCTTCAGTCAAGACCTGAAGAATGAATATGCAAGGCAGAGAAGAGGAAGGGTGTTTTAGGCAGAAGGATCAGCATGTGCAAGGGTCTAAAGGTGTGAGCAAGTAAGACATGTTGAGAACTCTAAGTGGCTTAACATTTCTGAAGCATAACATGTGTGGTGTAGACCCATGGAAAACGGGGCTGGAGAGGGGATACAGGCAAAATTATAAGCCACACCAAAGAGTTTGGACTTGATGCTACATGGTAATATTTTTCCAATGCTCAGCTGATGACCTGCCCAAGATCTACTGAATACCAATTTCCAGGGAGTGAGCCATCTTTAATAAGTCCCCCCAGGTATTGTTTATGCCCACTAAAGTCTGACAACCCGTGTAGTGTGTTGTGTTATAATTACTGGGAGGACTTGCAAGACAAAAGTAATGCAGTTTTGCACAAGCACAGTTTGGTTAAAGGCAGAACAACCTAGAATGAGTACTCCTGAAGACCATAAAGAAATTAGGCAGCATCAAGACCCCTTAATTAACACATCCCGATTACTCCTCCTCCATTACCATAGTCCCACGCTTCTTAGAGTTACTCATTTAGAAATAAATTTTAGTTCTGCACGTCCAGTTATGTTTCAGTAGCTCTCATAACAATGGTTTTTGAAACACCTCCTATGCTGCTGTAATCTGACAAATAATTCTAAAGAAAAACAGGCACTGGAGAAGGGGGGCTATGAAGACGTCTAGGTTCAAGGAGTGCCCCCAACTGTGTGAGATACAACTCTTGCAAAATAAAAGCAAGAGGAAGGAAACCTAAATCAGACAAAAGAAACAATAAGAAAAAAATCTGTTAAATTTAGTAAGGCACAAAAAGAGGAAGAAGACTCATCAAAAGGAGGAGGGAGGAAGTCAGAGCAGAGAAGGAAAAGGAGAGAAATAGGACA